GTTTAGGGGTTAGGGGTTAGGGAACCTTCTCATTGTAGAAGGAAATGGGATTGTGCACTTGCTGTCGGCGTGCTTGCTCCAGGCCGTACGTAAAGGGACCACCCGCCTCATAATCGCATCTTGTCGGCGAAAGTCTGAGACCAACAGCTTTTGCTCAGGTCCTCCGCCACCCAAATATGGAGCCGTCAAACCCAACGGCTGCGGTAACATGTCTTTTCGTGCCCGTTGCATGCAGATAGACTTATCACATCACCCTAAACCCCAAACCCCAAACCCTGAAAGCTAAACACCAAACCCTAAACCCTAAACCCTGAACCCCAAACCCTAAAACCCTAAAGGGGTAGAGCCTGAAATCAGCATCCCGGCACTTTTCGAGACTAGAAACTCACCACGTTCTCTGCCCACGCAAGAAGAGGCTGTGTCCCTTTGAGGGGTTTAGGGTTTAGGGCAATATGGGTAGTTCTCTAAATTAGGGTCCCTTTTAGGGTCCTTTTGATAAGGGTGCCGTACTATATTTGGGATCCAAAAAGGGACCCGAATTTCGAGAACTACCCATGTCCCTGTCTACTGAGAAATGCTGAACTCTATCGCCACCCTCTATAGGCTTAGGATTCAAGCACACCCCCAAGAACCTCTTCTAATTATCTCGGCGCCTCGTCAAAAACAATAATGTAAACACGGTCCTGGTTCTCTCATTGTGTTTAGAACGAAAACGCCTAAACCCTAAACCAAAACCTAAAACCCCAAACCCCAAACCCTGAACCCTAAACCCTAAACCCTAAACCCTAAACCCCAAACCCCAAACCTAAACCAAAAGCATCTCTTAATCTCCCACACACCAGAAGATCGAACCCCCGGAACTCCCAACTTCAGAGCTGAGGGTCCGGGCGCGCTCATCCAAGTTCAGGCAAACGCCACCGACGAGGATCCCCACCCAAAGGTACGAGGACGCCTGGCGAAATTGGATAAAACCCTATAAACCCTAAACCCGAATACCCTAAACCCTAAAGGAAGTGGATTTAAAAAAAACTAAACCCTAATACCCTAAACCCTGAATGAATTGGATAAAACCCTATAAACCCTAAACCCTAATACCCTAAACCCTAAATGAATTGGATAAAAAAAAACCCTAAACCCCAAATGAATTGGATAAAACCCTAAACCTAAACCCTAAAACCCTAAACCCTAAATGGAGTTCCGGTTTGATTTGAGGCTTTGGAGCTACCGCTGCACACACATTACGGGCCTGGTGAACGCAACTGAGATCCTGGGGCATTTAACCCTGGAGCTTAAGTCCCAACTCCCAGGCGAATCAAAAGAGTTTAGGCTTTAGGGTTTAGTTAAGGGTTTATTTATTAGGGTTTGGGGTTTAGGGTTTAGGGTTTAGTTTAGGGTTTAGGGTTTGGGGTTTGGGGCTTAGGGTAGATTGTGTGCTCCTATGATCTTCTGACTTCATCTTGAAACGTGCTCAGAGAAACCAGCGAGCTCAAGAGTAAGGAATATGCTTTTAATCTTGAACTCACTCAGGGACCCCTGAATATGGTTCTGGGTATACTTCTCAGTTTAAGGGGCATGTCAAACCCTCCGAAAGCCTAGCAACAAGCCAGCAAATCTAAAAATGTCTGAACAATCGTATAACTAAACCCTAAACCCTAAACCCTAAACCCTAAACCCTAAACCCTAAACCCTAACGTTCTAGAACGCCCTACCTGGGGACCCTACTTTCCTACAGTTTTATGGGTTCTACCCTACTAAACAAGGCGTAATGGCTGCTAAACTGTGGGTAAAGAGAGTTACACGTGTAAATACCTTGCTTTGGAAGCCCTCTGAAGCATGAGGTCGCTTACCTATAGAGACTGAGCGGACTTATTTAGTACATGCTATGGCTCCTCTTTCATGCAACCCTTCTAGCAAATTCTTACGGTAACCGTAGATCCCTTAACCCTAAACCCTAAACCCTAAACCCTAAACCCTAAACCCTAAACCCTAAACCCTAAACCCTTAAAGCCTTACATATGAGCTTACCCTGTTAAAACGGTCTCACCCGAGAGCACGACCAGCAGCACCGCCAGCATCATCAAGCAACAGGTACAGGGTGCCGCGCACCTTCAGAATTTAGGGTTTAGGGTTTAGGGGTTTAGGGGTTTAGGGTTTAGGGTTTGGGGTTTCAGGTGTCCGATGCGATAGGGTATAGGGATGTAGAGGTTTGCAGTACGGGCATAGAAGGTTCTATTAGGGTTGAGTAAAGGTTCTCTAAGAATGTCAGAGGGGGTTCTGTAGGGTTTGACACAGGACGATAGAAACTAGAATATTTGTGGTTTATGGGACCCTACTGAGCCCCTTCTATGAATTGTCCAGACCTCTACCGTAGAAGTGCCCGATAGGCTCAGGCCTTAATTTTAGAGGTCTATTCTCAAATAGGTATGAAAAGGTATGAAAAGGAACCCAAAGGAAACATCCAGGTCGTTGTGTGAGTTTCTGTAGTAGACAAAGGCGTCCAAGTTGAATTCTAGAAGAATAAGCTGTCAAACCTAAGCCTACACCCGAAACCCAAAACCCCAGACAGCAAACCCCGAAGCAAAAGGAGCGTCGGCGAGGATGGAGGCATCATCGCATAGGTCACACAAAAGGGTTGAAGGCATTTTGGGTTTAGGGTCTATGGCCTACACCCACACCCTAGACTACGCCTCCGGACACGCAAATCAGAAGCTGACACCTTGGCGCCGAAGCTGTCCATCCTCCAAACCATTGCAATCCTAGAGGTCTTGAAGACGTTCTACGTATGATAAGAGGTGTTATACCGCATAGAAACTATTCTACGAAGGTTTCTCGGGAGTTGAGAGTTGAGCAGGCCCGGCGGCATACCGCCGGACTCCTCACATCCGCTCTGTCCAAAACTTAAAGAGAAAAGGAAGCACCAAACAACACCCGAACATCGTATACCCTAGAAACAAAATCACAGAACGAGGACCGAATTTGAGAAGTATAGTATGTTGTAGTCTAGGAACCATATCGATCCCTTAAGGGAGCCCTTAAAGGAAATCCTATCGCTCCCACAAAGGAGACCTACAGATCCCTTAAAAGGAGCCCTTGAAGGTTACATACAAGAGCCACTCCTATGAGCCCCGATACCCTAAACCCTAAACCCTAAACCCTACACCCTAAAACGTAAACCCTAAACCCTGAACGGTTACACCCCTAAACCCTAAACCGTAAACCCTAAACCCTACACCCTAAACCCTAAACCCTAAACCCTGAACCCTACATTTGAGCCCCGATGCCCTAAACCCTAAGCCCTAAACCCTAAACCCTACACCCTAAACCCTAAAGCCCTTTACCATGGATTTAAAAAGACCTGCATTCTTCTATCGTGTACTGCAGGGACCTTAAAATTAGAATCCGGTTTTGGACTCCTTAAGATCGTATGAATATGAAAAGGAACCCTGAGGAAAAAATCTGGACGATTATTTAGGCTTCTATAACTTCTATTATTACCCTGAACTACAGCAATTCTGCTAGACTCCTCAATATGGATACTGCTTGACTAGATATTAAAGCCACTTGGGGCTTTAGGGCTGCCTAAGAGGGCTAAACGCTAAACCCTAAACCCCGAGCCCTAAACCCTGAGCCCTAAACCCTAAACCATAACAGCTGTACAAAGGTCCTTGGAGTTCTTTCAGGAGGACCAGGGTAGGCAATCCACGCAATTACTCACCAAAGCCTCGTGAACCCTAAAATCCCTAGGCGATGCCTTCCCAAAGCCTACGGCCAATCGCTCCTTCAACTAGCTGCTCTTACACTCCAAACTTAGAGGTTCATGCGTAGTTATAAATGGAGTTGTAAGTCCCCTAATATCAGTTATAACTACGGTTTCCCTACTTATAAACCCCACGTATAACTACTCATGAGGCTCTAAGAAATCTCTTGCAACCCTACTAAAAACTCATTAATATAGAAGCCTAAGTAACTACCTATAGTATTTTGGGGTTCCCCCCTATAGTATTTTGGGGTTCCCCAGTATAGTTATAGCATAATATGCCCCAAAACCCTATTCTAATTTTCTCGAGGCCCCTAACATAGAAGCCCAGTATAGATCCCTTATAGTATCCCTTTATAAGGATCCCTTTAAAGGAACCCCTCGTCTAATTTTGCAACGTGAAAGCCCTCTCTTCTGAGCTTCAGACTCGATGATCAGATCGTCTGCACGCTTCGCATACTGTGGAAGGGCAGAGGGTACTTGGAGGGTCGGGAGACTTAGTAAGCAGGTAAGGACCCTAATTGGGGCTATACTACTTATAAGTCTATAAAATAGCCATTTACTAAGTCCCCCGACCCTCCAAGTAGAAGGTTTGGGGGTCTCGGTTTTGGGGCTCAAGGTTTGGGTTTTACGTTTTGTAGGGCTTTAGGGTTTCGGGGTTTGGGGTTCAAGGTTGAAGATTTACGGCTGTTGGGGGCTGGGGCGTATTAGAGATTGAGACGACTATACAGACTTCATGATGGCCCCGTATCGAATCCTGATGATGGCCCTATGAAAGCAGGACCCTAAACCCCTTGATAAAAGCCTGTTAACCCTAAACCCTAAACCCTAAACCCTAAACCCTAAACCCTAAACCCTAAACCCTAAACCCTAAACCTATAATAGGGGTCCGTGATGATTTTGGCGTCCATTCCTCGACTCTGCAAGTTGCGCTCGCACGGCGACCCGGGACTCCCAAACTCCGAACCAACCCGAATGAAACCCTTACAGATTAGGGTTTAGGGTTTAGGGTTTAGGGTTTAGGGTTTAGGGTTTAGGGTTTAGGGTTTAGGGTTTAGGGTTTAGGGAATCCTGATCCCTACAACAAACGCAGCTCCGAACCCCGAAAACTGAAAGCCCCAGAACGAAAATCCCTTGAACTTGAAACCCAAACAGCAAGCCCGTAGACAGCTCCCACAACACTCTTCTAAAACCCTTTTGACCACCTTTCTGAGCACCACCATTATGGAGGCCTTTATCATTCAAGCAGGGTTTGGGGGTACGTTATGTGGGTAGTTCTCTGAATTAGGGCCCCCTTGAAGGTCCTTTTTATAAGGGTGCCGTACTATTGTGGGGACCTAAAAAAGGACCCTCACTATTCCGATCCTTCTCAACCCAAACCGACCCCCAGACGAGAGATCCCCACACTCTAAACCCGACCCCAACCCCTAAACCCGAAATGTAGGGCCCGGAAAAATTAGAAACACTATTTCGCGGGCTCCTCATTTTAACTAAGTCGAATAAGCCCTACAACTCTATTCTAATTATTAAGGTCCCTATACTATACCACAAACCCTAATTAGACATACCCGCAAACCCTACACACTAAACCCTCAACCCTAAACCCCCTAAACCCTAAAGCCTGAACCCTAAAGCCTAAAGCCCTAAAGCCTAAAGCCTAAAGCCTAAAGCCTAAAGCCTAAAGCCCTAAACCCTAAACCCTAAAACCCTAAACCCCAAACCCTAGACCCTAAACCAAAACCCTAAAACCCTAAATCCCTAAAACCCTAAAACCCTAAACCCCAAACCCTAAACCCTACACCCGAACCCCGAACCCCTAAACCCTCAACCCTACACCCTAAACCCTTTGCAAACCCTAAACCCTATAAACCC